TATTGACCTTGGCTGCTTAAGATTACGCAAGAGAGGTTTACGACGAGGAATATTCACACTACAATTCTACAGAGTATACCCCGATTTTAGGAAGACATGTCTATTGCTTAAGCGAGAAGCCCACGTACAAACTTTATTTCCAGCATTCTGAAGCTCACTTAGGTAATGTGATAGATTCATAAAATATCTAGTAAGAATGTTATAAGTTTTTCTTTTCATTCATTAATCATGATATACTTGGCCTATTCTCTTTTGGTATTTATGTTAGCTACAGTTGTTTTATTCATCTTTCAATATGCTCTCTGTCCTTAATAGCCAAGCATGTATTCATTTTCCTACGATACCTAAAGTATACTATTTTGAGGCACTATATACATTTTCCGCATTTTAACAATGTAAAGACATATTTTTACTCTCCTATTACTTGATAAGCCTAAAGTAATTCCGACAAAAACGTATGACATGAAGCACATGGGTTAGCCATTCGACCTATTTTTAGTGTCCTATGCAATTTTGCACAGCTGACCTTAAATAAAATTGTTTCTAGGATCGGCCCATATCTTGATCCCACATAACTTAAATAGCAGAAATAAAAGTGGCTAAAGACATTTCTGTCTGAAAGCATAAATGTGATGGCTCTTTTTTTTACAAATTCATATCTATCCTCGACTGTATTGTGCTTCTCCCAGACCTGAACTTTCTCTCACGTAAGTTCCAAGTTTCCTCACAGCTAGAACCCGTTATACTGTAAGATTCATGATTTGCTTACTCTCTTTTCGCATTTTTCTCCCTCTCAGGCATTGCAGGCTGCAGCAGCTGCTGGTGTTGGCCTTGGACAACGGCAAATGACCGCCGGCGCTAGTTCAACCGAAAATAGTGCGCATTATCAGCATCAGTTGCAGCAACGTCATCAGCAGGCCTATCACCAGTTGCAGCTACAACAACAACAGCATTACTTTGCTGCTCAACGCCAACAACAACAACAGCAACAGCAGCAACCCTCCACAGAAGCAGCTCTTACTACAAGCAGCAATAACTAATTCAAACAGACATATTCTCTTGTAGTTCTGCCCATATCGAATCCTATCTAGCCTTGTTGCTTCATGAGAGTCTCTACAGTTAAATCGTTTGACCACATTTCGGTATTCGGTTCTTTGCGCTCGAGCTACATGTAGTCATCGATTTCTCCAGAGCGCCTACTTCCTCATCCAAAGGCTTGCAGATGTAAAGCATTATTGTGTGAAGCATATGATAAGACCCTGCCGGTGACTTGCTCATATTCTGCCTGTCCCTCTCGAGTTCTTTTAGATTGTATTCTGGTCTGTACATAGGATCTATCTTTGTAAATAGGCAGTCAAATTGTGCGCTTCTTTTGTATATATATTTATTTATTTATTTATTATTATCAATCGGTGCATGTATATCTATATATTTCCCCTATGATGTACATACTCATTTCACTTTTACTTCCCTGAAGTCTACCCCCGTCATCGTGTGCCTAACGTTTGATCCTCTTAGGCAGCTTCTGTTTCTCAAACTTGGCATTTATGAACAGCGTTTTTCATTCACTTTTTATGTTTTCTCGTTTTACCTTCTAAAATGCTTCGGACGCCAAATACACCTATCTGATGGTGCATTGTTTCTGTATGCAATCTCTTTTTCTACTTAATATTGTGTTTTTGTTTTGTTTTATTGGCTATGAGATAATCATTGCTATCTATGAACTTACTCGAATCATAGATCTTGATTGGCTTTCTGTCTCCGATACGAACGAGGCCCGGGTTAGGTCTCAACTATACCACTAATGCACTCGTTTTTTCATCGCATTGCTATTATTCACTTCCGCATCATCTCCCATTTACTCTTGCTTATTTCCACTGTCGGTCCTGTCATTCTTGAGGAAAGTTCAACATTGCTTTTTATTGATAGTCGCTTTACAATATCCGTTTTGCCTCTATGTCACGAACTGGTTTAGTACTCGCTTGACCCTCCACGTAGCTGCTAACAATTCGCATTTAGTGATAGTCACTGCAATACTCCATTCCCCTGGAATTATCTCGGCATTTCGATCACTTCATTACCAAAAGTATGTCGTGTTTTCCGAACAGGTGATTGACTGATAGTGCGCAATATCCAATACCATATATTAACTCTTACAGTTAATCAGACTGATGGAGTTTGCACTTCCTTATCATTTTACGCCTCTTAATTTTCCTAGTGACCTAACCGGCATATTTGATTTTCTA